TCGTGTATCTAGAATTCAGGATTGTGTTGAGACCAACAGAGTTTTCTTTTGATGCCAATACCAAGCAATTGCCTTTAATTTTTGTTTTATATTTTTAATATGACTCCTATATAAAGCATACATTGGTAGTCCACCACTAGATTACCGACGTAGGGCAAGTGAGGGGTAAGTTTATGCAAAGTAGTACTTTTTTCTTTAATTATATAGATCTGATAAATGATTTGTGCCTTTCACAATGGACAGTTATGCATTATTGATGATGCCAAAGTGTATACCCAACTTAACATCCATGCTGTGCAGGCTTATGAAGATTTAGTCGATCAAAACCACATGGCTCTGGAATTTTCTTCATTTTCTGATGGAAAAGAAGCTGTAACCAAAGCAGCTAACTTACTTTTTGTGAAGTATTTGGAGTTGGCCAAATCAGTTGGAGATCATGAAGAGAAAATCTTTACAGAACCTAACATGGATGAGGCACTAAAAGCTATTAGTATGTTTTACTGTCAGATGCTCAATTGTCTACAATAATGGTTACCTGCACAATTCAATTTGACCTTACGGGTGTTTATGGTAATATGCTTTCAGGTTGTAGAGGGCCAGACCCTGACCTCCTATTGGTTTACGGACCTGCAAGATGCCACCTTGGTTTCCCTGCATGGAGAATTCGATATACTGAGATTGTGTGAGTGTTCTTCGACAGATGTGTGATGCAGTTAGCTGCATATATTCCTATATATGTCTACTTGATGTCTAGTGAAACTTAAACCACAAAGCCATGGTGCAGGGAAAGATGGAGTAACCAATCTAACCATAAAAATAGGCCAGAGTTTTGAGCCAGCTGATTTGTGTATAATACATACATATACATGTGTTTGTGTGTGTATACATTTATCTCCTTTGTCTCATGCAGATTTGTTTTTCTGCAGTACATTTTCTGGGAACTTTTGTGCAACAGAAGCTTCTCCTTGATGTATTGTGTTTGTACCCATTTTGTTTCTGAACTGATTGTGTCCCATATTTTGCTTTACAGACATATGGGAGAATTGAAGTCTATGAGATATGGTTCCCTAATTAAAGCCATCTACGGGTTCACCACTGTGCGCCAGAACTATGGTAAGTGATGTTCCTTTTCATTTGTCTAATTGTCATCTCTTGTAATAGTTTGAGACTAAATTAGTGATTTCATAAGATCCCTAACAAGTTTGCAATGGTGTGCTTAAAACTGTTTATTGTATTTGTATAACTTGGTAACCATTTTCATTTAAAATAGTTGTATGGTTTTAATTTTCATCATCGAACCGAACC